CATGTGCCCTACAGTGAAAATCTCCCAAAAAAAAAAAAAAAAACTCACGCAGCGTGCATGTGCGTGCATGCCCAAGATCCTGAGAGGAGAATGGAGGAGAAGGGATTGCAGTGTGGCCATCCCCCGGGGGGTGATTTCTCTCTATCTCTCTGTCTCTGTCTTTCTGGTGAGCGCACACACCCTATAGCACACAAAACAAATTGATGAATATTGTATGTATTTATACAACATTGTTTTGAATTACGTATATGCTGTGGGATGGTGAGCTAATTAAAAATATGCATTAGGTCACACACTTAGCATTTTTTTTGTGGTGAGAACACTTAAAAGCTACTAGCAGTTTTCAGGAAAATAGTACATTGTTAGCTGTCATGTGTATCAGTCTGCAATGCTAGAAGCCAATGGGAGATCAGGGTTTGATTCCTGTGTCGACCTATACATGCAAGGTATGAACTTGCAAGCCCAGTATCCAAGCTGGCCAGGAAGGCTCGGGGAACAACTGTGGCATGAGATGTTGAGGGTGCTTCTGTCTCCTCTGTTTCTTTTTCTCTCTCTCCCATTAAAGAAATACACTTAAGAGAATATAATTCATTGCCATTAATAGTCACCATGTTATACAATGTCTTGAGTTTATTCCGCCTGTCTAACTGAAATATTTGTATTTTCACCAACATCACCCCAACCCCCACCTCACCCCACCCTTGGTAATAGCCATTGTACTTTCTACATCTATGAATTTAACTTTTTAGATTCTACATATAAGCGAGACCATATGGTATTTATCTGTCTGTGCTAGGCTACATCTATGCTGTTGCAACTGATGAAATTCCTCTTTTGAAAGACTGAATAGTATTCCATTGTGTATATATACCATATTTTTCATTCGTTCATCTATTGATAGACACTTAGATTTATTCCATAGCTTCACTATTGTGAATAATGCTGCAATGAACATAGGTGTCAAATAGTTCATCAACATACTGGTTTCATTTTCTTTGAAAATATAAGTACAGTGAAATTGCTGAGTTGTGTGGTGCTTTTATTTTTAACTTTTTGAGGAACAACTATACTGATTCCATAATGGCTGTACTATTGTAATTTACATCTCCACCAAAAGTGAGCAGGATTTCCATTTTCTCCATAGCCTCACCAACATTTGTTCTCCTTTGTGTCTTTGATAATAGCCATTCTAACAAGTGTGAGGTGATACCTCATTGTTGTCTGAATTTGCATTTTTCTGATTAGTTATGTTGAACATTTAAAAAATATACTTCTTGGCCATTGGTATTTATTGATAAATGTCTATTTAGATCCTTTGCCTACTTGTAAATTGTGCGGGTTTCATACTGTTATCTGAGTGGCTTATTATATTTTAGATGTTAACCTTTTATGAGTTATAAGGTTTGCAAATATTTTACTCCATTCCATGAGTTGTCTCTTTATATGCTGATTATTTCCTTGGGTGTATAAAAGGTTTTTAGTTTGCTATAATCCTGTTTGTCTATTTTTTGCTTGCATTGTCTACACTCTTGGTTCATGAAATTACCCAAACCAATGTCATAAGGCTTTTCCCCTATGTTTCTTCCAGTAGTTTTATAGTTTCAGGTCAAACTTTAAATCTTTAATTCATTCTAGTTGATTTTTGTATATGTATATGACAAGGGATGTAACTTAATTCTTCAGCATGTGGAGAGTCAGTTTTCCACAACTCTACTTATTAAAGAGATTGTCTTTTTCTCAATTTGTGTTGTTAGCAACTTCGTTAAAAAGCAATAAATTTGTGGATTTGTTTCTGAGGTCTCTATTTATATTTCATTGGTCTATTGCTAGTATCATTGGTTTTGAGTACTATAGTTTTACAGTGGATTTTTTTAAAGTCAGTGTGATATCTCCAGATTTCTTGTTTTTACTTAAATTTACAATGGTGACCATTATAGAGTTTTATGTACTTTCATACAAATTGTATAATTTTTAAAATTCTTGTGAAAAATGTTAGAATTTGCTGGGTGTTACATTGATTTAGAACATCACTTTAGATGATATGGACATTTAAATAATATTAATTCTTTGAATCAGTGAACATGGAATATCTATTTGTCTTCATTAATTTCCTTCATCATTGTTTTTCTTGTTTTCAGTATACATATTTCTCATCTCCCTGTTTAAACTTATTCTTAAGTATTCCTTTTTTTTGTAGAGTGTAAGTGGGATTGTCTTCTCGATTTGCCTTTTTTTTTTTTTTGGAGAGGTTTTCGCTATAGGGTGCATGCACTCACCAGACAGACAGAGAGGGACATAGAGACAGAAAGCGAGAAATCACCCCCCAGTGGGGATGGTCACACCACAATCCCTTCTCCATTCTCCTCTTGGGATCTTGGGCACGCACGCACACACACCTGGCATGAGTTTTAAGCCACTGGGTCCGGGACACGAACCGCGGTCGACTACGTGGGAGTCCAGCGACATAGCCATTACACTAACTGCTGGTTCCCTTGACTTGCTTTTTAAGAGTTCATTGGTAATGCATGAATATGGTGATTTTTGTATGTTGGATTTATATCCTGTAACTTTACTGAATTCATTTATTAGTACAAAGATTTTTCTTTTATGTTTTGGTGCTTTAGGGTTGAATATATAAGATCATGTTATCTGCAAACAGGACCAATTTAAGGTCTTCATTTCTGAATAAAATGCCTTTTATTTTTATTTTTTTTCTCTTAGCCTACTTGTTCCAGTGAGGACTTTCATTACTATGTTGAATGGAAGTGGTATGTGTGGGCATCCTTGTCTCTTTCCTAATCTTTGAAGAAAAAATTCCATCTTTATGCTTTTGAGTATGATGTTATCTGGGGACTTTTTCATCTATGGTCTTTGTTGTCTTGAGGTACTTTCCTTTTATGCCTAATTTGTGCAGGGTTTTTGTCATGAAATGATGTTGAGTGTTGACTTGTATCAGTTGCTTTTTCTGTGTCTTTATAGAGACAATCATATGCGTTTTATCCTTCAGTATGTTATCGTAGTATAGCACACTTACTGATTTTTATGTTGAACTATCTTAGGATCCCAGGGATAAATTCCACTTAATTTTTGGTGACTGATCCTTTAAATATGCTACAGAACTCAGTTGCTGGTATTTTGTTGAGAATTTTAGAATCTATGCCTATCAGAGATATTGGCCCGTAATTTTCTTTTATTTGAAGTGTCTTTGGCTTTGGTGTCAGTGTAATACTTACCTAGTAAAAATTATTTGGGAATCTTTCTCGTTTGTTTGTTTGTTTGGTTTTTTTTTTGGAAGAGTCAGGTAATTACTGGTATTAGTTCTCATTTAAATGTTTAGCAGGACTTATCTTGAAGCCATCTAGTCCTGAGCAGTTCTTTAATGAAGGACATTTTATTCCTGATTCAATCTTTCACATGGTCTGTTCAGATTCTCTATTTCTTCATATTCAGTTTTGATAGCTTGTATGTTTTGGAGTCGATCCATTTTCCAGGTTATTTAATTTGGTAACATGTAATTGTTTCATAGTCTCTTATAATCCTTTGTACTTCTGTGGTATCAGTTGTAATATCTCCTCTTTCGTTTACTTACTCAGTCTTTTCCTCTTAGTCCAACTACAGGTTTGTCAACCTTGTTTACCTTTTCAGTGGCCTGCATATGATCTGTCCTGGAAACGATTCTTACGTTCTTGAGAAGTATGTGTATTCTGCTGCAGTTGGATGTAATGTCCTGTACATATGTTATATCTATTTGATCTAAAGTGGAATTTAGTCAGTCTTTCCTCATTGATTTCTGAATGGTCTGTCCATAATCTAAAGGGAGGCATTGAAGTCCCCTCCTGTAATTGTATTTTAGTGTGTCTTTTCCTTCAGATCTATTAATATTTGTCTTATGTATCTAGGTCCTCTGATGTTGGGTGTATATATATTTATAATTGTTCTAGGCCATGCTGTAATTCCTTCTCCATTCTCTCTGTCAGGTTTCGGACTCAAACTGTGGTTGCTCATGTGAGAGTCCAGCACCTTAACCACTATACCATCTGCTGGCCCCTGTTTTGTTTCTTAATTAATATGTTAATGGGAATTATGAAAGCTAATGGATGAGTTTACCTGGAAACCTGTATCACTAACTCATTTTTTGTTTGTTTCATTCTTGATATTTTATACATGTTAAAAGTGCCATGATTTTGAGTAAATTAAAAGTAAGAATAAACAACTTAAAAATATTTTAAATGCCTATTCTTTCTTGACTAGAAAATGATGTAATTGAAATGTATGTAATTTATTCAATATTTACATACTGTTAGATAATCTTAATTTAAAAATTTTTTTTTTTACTTCCCTCAGAGTTGAATTGCTACTATTTTTAGAAGAATGGACTGCTCAGGGTTCAAAAAATTCAATATTCTTCTCTGGAAGAATTTTACTTTAAAAGTAAGTTGAGCTATCTATACAATTGTTGAAACAGCTTAGAGGCCACAGAGGGAAAATCCTGGCAGTCTTATCACTGCATTTGAGTTTATATTGTTTGAATTTTGTCATCACAGAGGAAATACTAGCCAGATAGAAAGGAGAAAAAAAGACTGCTATGCATTTTGGCCATCTCTCTATTTTTTTGAAGGATCTGTTATCCTAATATATTTTTAAAAATTAGCTAGGTCAGACAGTGGCAGAGCAGTAACACAATTGGACTCAGGACCTCCCTGAGCCCACTGGGTGATCTAAGATGGCTGAGACCAGATCAGTCTGAAGACCCTGTAGGGGTGGTTCTCTTTCTCCCCCTTTTCCCTCTCTCCCCCTCTCTGGTTCCCTCCCTCCCTCTCACCCTCCTTCTCTCTCACCCTCCCTCTTACCCTTTTCTCTCTCTTTTCCTCCCTCTCCTTTTCTCTCTTGTATAGAAAAAAGAAAGATTAAAAATAAGAGTTAACAAAATATTTGCAAAGTTAATGACTTCTTAGGGCAATTAACACAATTTTGTTCTTTTCCTCTTCTAGAGGCGGCGATGTATCGCTTTAGTTGTGGAAATTACCCTAATGACTTTATTCAGTATTGCGCTTTTGGCAACACGCAAAGTCCTTGTTATAAAGAAGCGCGGCCCTTTTGATTACCCTGCTCTGCCAGTCAATAATGTGCCTACGTTCATCAGTCTACCTGTCACTTCTCCTTACCCTTGGGAGTTGGCTTACGTGCCTTCCAAAAGTACTGTGGTATGGAATATCATTGACAATGTGAAAAAAGATTTAAACATTAATATGAAAGGTTAGAAATTATGGTTTTCTGAAAAAAATCATAGTATTGTTTTAGTGAAGACATTCAACTTCTTTAACTGGGCGTTAACCTTCCTCATAAAACTTGGTGGGATATCCTCATAACCAGGTATTAACTTCCTGAAATTATAGACTTTGTTAAGCTTGAGAGTTAAATTCACATAATTTTTTTTTCCCGTGGGGCCCAGGATGAATAGCCATGTTTTAAAATTAGATGACTGATTAATATTCACAATTATTAACCAGTTCTGTGATACTAAGTCTTTCTTGTTTCTAGTTGTCCTTCTTCAACCTGGGTTAGTATAACTCCAGGGGTAATGTGATGGTGGGCCAGGGCTACCCAGAGCCACAGGGGAAGCATGAGTCTTCATTCTGGACTGCATGCTCAGGTTCAGTTATTTAAAACATTGTTTATATTAAAGATGCTGTGCACATCATACAGAAATGCTTTAGAAAAGATTCAAGTTCTGTGGAATTATTTTAAAAATTCTCGATTCTTGGGGATCAGCAGATGGCATAATGGTTACGTTGCTGGACTCCCATATAGTCGATGTAGTTCTAGTCCTGTACCCGGCAGATTAAAACTCATGCCCAGCTGCGTGTGTGTGTGTGTGTGAGCCCAAAATCCTGAGAGCAGACTGGAAGAGAAGAGATTGCTGTATGGCCATTCCCCCAGGGGGCTGAGTACTTGTTTGTTCGTTCTCTCTCTCTCTCTCTCTCTCCAGCTAGTACATACACCCTATAGCAAAAATCTCTTCAAAAAAATAATTCTCAATTCTTCACCTACCTTCAGTCTCAGATCACAGTCTCCCCTTTCTATCCAAAATTATATGGGCATCTCTAGTATTTCCTCTCTTGCACATACATACACTTACTTTATGTATTTTTTTCAACCACTTTTTCTGGTCTCTGAAGGGATGTGAGAATCCTTTGCTATTTCAAAATATTTTTTATTTTAAATGAAACACTGAAACAGAAGATAGCAAAATCTCTAGTGAGTTCCAAAGTATCCAACACAAATATCCCATTTCATTTTCTGAATTGCTTTAAACATTTTAAAAATATTTACTGGAATTTATGATTTACATATAACCATTACACATGTTTGTAAGGTACAGAATGGCCTTTAATAGCATGTATACAGTATATAATAAATAAAAGAAATTAACATATTCACCACCTTCCACATTTAACCACTGAATATTTGAAAGAGCTGTAGCATCCAACAATACCTCTAGCATGTCCTTTGTTTCCCAAGGTATAATAATAATAATTTAAAAAAAAAAAAGAAAACAGTATAGGAGACATTTTAAGCAAGTGACCATGTCTCTCTCATTACAATTTAGTTTATATTTAGATTATATGGCTACCTGGATTCATTCAAGGCAATGGAAGTAGCCAATATTACTGCACTTTACCTTCAAGGACTTGGTCCAAGGAAATCAACCCTTTCTTTCACTCCTCTGAAATCTTCACACCTAAATTTTGTGCCTTTAAGCCAGTCTAGTCTATACAACTCATAGGTCATAGGAGGAAAACCACAAGTATTTCAGATTTATTGGAACCCAAGAGAGCTGTGGTTTTGCTTTCTGTAATTTTTCCTGTCTATTCCAGCTTCACGTAGCTGTTAACCTACCATGTGACAGTCCATTTCTAGCATCTAGCTGGAACTTAGATTTTGACATTATGTTCTATTTCTAGCTGTATTCCTACTTCTGTTTCTTTTTTTTTTCTTTTTTTTTTTTCTTTTTTTTTTTTTTTTTTGCTTAGTGGGGGGGTTTTTTTCAGGATTCTGGAGGTTTCATTTTTTTTTTTTTTTTTTTTTTTTTTTTTTTGCTATAGGGTGCGTGCTCTTGCCAGACAGAGACAGACAGAGAGATAGCGAGAAATCACCCCCCAGGGGGAATGGCCATGCCACAATCCCTTCTCCTCCATTCTCCTCTCGGGGTCTTGGGCACACACGCACACATGCCTGGCGTGAGTTTTAAGCCACCAGGTCCGGACACGAACCGCAGTTGACTACATGGGAGTCCAGCGACATAGCCATTACGCTAACTGCTGGCCCCTGTTTGTTCATTTTTAACTTATCAGTGAACTTAGTTTTCCCATTGATCATTTGAATTCTGAGGCCTTCATCTCGTCTCGCTCCTGATTCTCATATAGAAACGTACCTAATTCCAGCCCCTAAGATGCTACTTTCAGCTTTGCAGTATGTTCCAGGTTGGCCCACCCTGAGAAGGGCATTAGTAAAGTGCTACATTCCTGATATTTCACATCATTGTCAAAAGTAATGATCCTGGGCCCTCAGCATAATTTCATGGCCCCCAACAGTGTTTCTGGGTTTAGATGGCAATCCAAATAAACTTTTTATTGCCTAATTAAACTAGCATGGGAAGGTGGAGTCCATCCTTAGTATTTGTGGGTTCTGTATTTGTGAACGTGTCTACTCACTAAAATTTCTGTGTAACCTAAATCGGTGCCCACTGTACTTTTGAGGTCATTAGCAGACATGCACAGAGTGGCAAAAAAATTAAGTCATCTGAGGGACAGGTCCTAGGTGAGATCAAACCAGGAACATAGCTATTCTTGTGTCAACCCTTGTGCTGTAAATGAATGTCATTGTCTTTAGTTAGTGTCATGTTCTACAGATTTTTTCTTTTTGTTGTTAATTTTGTTGATCAAAAGGATCCCCAGACATAGTGCTAAAGTGCTGTCTAGTGTTCTTAAATATAAGAATACTGTAATTGTAATTTATAGAGAAAATATGTGTATTTGATAAGATTCATTGAGGCATGAGTTATAGTGCTACTAGCCATGAGTTCAGTATTAGTCAATCAACAATGTGTATTAAATAAAGCATCTTTACACAGAAACACACACAAAACCAGCTTCTATATTTACCAGCCGACCAAATTTTATCATCACAGGTTTACATAACTAACCCTGAATTTCCCTAGGAGCAATTAGTCAGTATTTTCTGACTCCAGTGTTTGTGGCAACTCCATAGAACGTAACGATCTCAAACAATGAAAATCGACTGTGTATAAGACAGGACCCATGTTTTCACTCTCACAAGTCTTGCAACAGCACAAGGTGCAGACAGAGAGGATCCACAACTACACAGGGCACATTCAGTTCTTCAGTTACAGGGAAGTTGCTACTTGTGTTTGCCTAAGATTGTTAATAGTCCTGGTTATTTCTCTCTAGGACTTATCTCTAAATCGGATCTGTCACAGGAGGCACTCACAGTGTTGATAATGAGTTCCTGGTACTTCTAACACTTTACATTTTTAACTGAGTGCATAACTAGTACAGTGCTGCCAGAAATATGGGCACTAAAAGCAGTCGTAGAGGGTAGATTTTCATTTTTTCTTTTCCAGTGGCTGCCTCTTGTAAATGTCTTGGAAATCACTGTGAATATAGACTAAGCATCAGCTCAGGAGCACCAGAATTATGGATCACTTCCAAAACTCTATGACCTCATCCTTCTTTCTTTGGTCCAGTCTTTATATTTTTTATAATTTTATGACACCTATAGGAAAGCTTTATTTTCATACAAATGTAAAGCAAGTAATCAACCACCCTATTCATTTAAGTGCTGACGTTTTCAGGCACAGAAGCTGTCCACCACAGTTCCAAATGTACAGAAAAGACATTGTCTACGATAGGGCCTAATTACTTAGAGTTGGCTATTTTGTTTTTGTTTTGTCTTGTTTTTATAAATTGCAAAAAGTAAGTGGAGCAAAGTGGCTGAGGGAACTGATTTTTATGATGAATTGCTTCATGAAATTCAACAGCAGTGGTACCTTGGAGCCCAGGTGACAAGTATGGCAAAGAATGGAAGAGAGTATATCTTGAGAATGGAGCCTTCAGAAGAAGCATGGGATAGTACTTTTGATAAGATTGCTGGTGGTCTCATAAACTGTACCATCAGCAGCGGCAACAATGAGACTTCTTAGAGAAGGTTTTGAGAACCACATCATTAGGAATTTGCTGGAGGGAGAATTGTGCCAATTAAACAATGTAAATCTTAGTAATAGAACCACATGAAACATTATTTTTACCCACAGGCTATTGAAGCATTTGGTATCCTCTTCACATCAAAATGTCTACTCCTAAGAAAATCTAGTGTATATATACATGGTCATAAAGATGTTTTAAATAATCAAATATTTTGTCTTAGGAGTATACAAATGGCACCACAGTCCCATTTTAATTTCAATTCAGTTTAATTCATGCCAAAGTCATTGAGTGGATCACCTCATGTATGGAAGTATAATTACCTTAAATATTGAAACCATGAAGTGATTTAATTCCTCAGCTTCTGAGTATGTAGTTGAAAGCTAAATAATGTGATTGAATGTATAAATTTTATTAAAAAAAAAAGTAAAAAGGATCCAATTCAGATAGTAGATATTCTCATGATACAAGATTTTAAATAGATTACATGGATCCATTTTAAAAATGGATTCTTTCAAGATGGAAATTTCAAAACACTGTATGAAGACTCCTTTACCTTCAAGCTTATTTCAGTATGTATTTATTATAACAATTACTATTATACAACTATTGTTTAAAACTTATAAGAATTTTTTAAACTCGAAGTTTTCATGGACTTTAAATATTCATTAGTTTGTTATAACACCATTGAGCAACAGTGGTTTGTATTTATAATATTATGAAAGCCTTTCATCCATGTAAAGTGATTTTTTCATCTTATAGAAAGGAAGAGTTAACATATGTTTAGCCTTTATGTGGCCAACTCACACAGATTTCTCTCTCTCTGCAGTTGTAGGCTTTTCTTCAGAAAGTGATTTTGAAGATTATGTTAAGCAAAAGGATAATTCCGACAAAGTTCTGGCTGCTGTTGTTTTTGACCACTACTTCAAAAATAGCAACGATCCCCTACCACTTCAGGTGAGACAGTTTTATGGACAGATCTCATAGCTGTACTTCCACTGTCCAAAGATTTGATGACATAAAGGTATCATGATTCCATTTTATAGGCAGGGAGACTGTCACTTACCTAATACCACCCAGCTTGTACATGATAGAGCCAAATCTAATTAAATTCAGTGTCTGTGTTATTTATTTAGTCAGTGCTTTCTACTGATGAGGAAAAAACTGTATTTACAACCTACCAGGCCTTATAGGAACTGAAATAATAAGAAACATTGACAACTGCCATTTGTCATGGTTTGAATGTGTCCTCCAAAAATCCATGTCATGATAGGATTAAGAGAGTGAAAACTTTGACTATACTGTTGAAAGGGAGAGCCTTGGGTAGGTGATTAGGATTAGATAAGGTCCTCAGGGTGGAGTTCCCATGACTGAATACTGGTGAGTTTGAGGATAGAAAATAAGACAAAGATGAAGATACAGAGACATGGATACATACAAGATCTTGTGCTGTAATACTCTTTGCTGCCTTGGGACTCTTCAGAGAGTCCCCACCAAGAAGACCCTCACCAGATGTGGCACCTTGACTTGAACCTCCAAAACTGTGAATTAAATAAACCTCTATTCTGTAAAAATCACCCAGTGTGGCATTTTGTTGCTAACAATAGAAAAACAGAATGAAACACTACTGAATCTGGTATACCTGCTGTCTCTAGCCCTACATAGTGACAAAACTAAACGAGATGCAAGAGCTGAGAGATGATGAACTTCAGAAGATGCGGGAGAAAAGAGACAATGAGTTCCAGGAGGTGTTGAAGTTCTTTCATGATATGAAAGAGGAAATATACACCATAAAAAAGAATCAAATGGAGTTATTAGAGATGAAGGCTGCCATTCAGGAAATCAAAACTTCCCTTGAAAATATTAAAGACAGATTAGTCCATGCAGAAAATCGAATCTCAGATGTTGATGGAAAAACCTCTGATCTAGGAAAAACAACCCAAAAAACTGAGAAAATAACACAAAAAATGAGAATACTATATGAGAAATACTAGACAGCATTAAGCGCCCAAACATCCAAATAATCGGTATCCCAGAAAGTGAGGAAACTAATAAGGGCATTGATAATCTATTCCATGAAATCTTGGAAGAAGACTTTCCAAATCTAGAGAGGCATTCAAATATCCAGACTCAAGAAATACTAAGGACCCCTAATAGAATCAACCCAAAAGATCTTTTCCAAGACACATCATAGCCAGACTGGTCAAAGCTACAAAGACAAGATACTTAAATTGGCAAAAGAGAAACGTTGGGTTACTTATAAAGGCTATCCAATCAGGCTAATCTCAGATCTCTCATCAGAAACAATGAGACCAAGGAAAGAATGGAAAAATATATTCAACATGTTAAGTGAACAACAGTTTCAACCAAGAATACTATGCCCAGCAAGATTATCCTTCATATGGAAAGAAAGAATGAAAACATTCTCAGATAAACAAGATCTGAAAGAATTTACCAGTAGCAGACCCACTCTTGAAGTTCTGAAAGGAGTGCTCTACCAGGAAAACTAAAGACACATACAGAAATAAGAGAACAAAAGGCAACCAAGAAAATGACCAGTTTAATGCTAGGGACAAGAAATATCAATAACAGCATTGAATGTTAACTCCCAGGATTTAAACGGAAAGATTGGTCCACAGTAATTCTGTATATTCATCTGAAGAGAGTTTGAACATAAGACTGAACTAGAGAAATAGAATTTTATGACTTTTGAGTAAAACATCACTGATTTCTTTTTTTTTTCACTATGCTTTTCTCAATTTAAACATTTTACTTTCTTTTGAGTTGTTGATAGGTTCCACAATTTGTTAAAATATTGTTCTCATTTGTTTCTTTAAATGAAAATATAAACTTTTATTCTTTCCCGACCCCTCTTAAATTGGAAATATTTGGGAGTATTCTTATTTTGTGGCAGAAGGGTTATTTGCACAAGTTCAATAATGTTTGTTGCATTGAATCAGAAAGTGGAAATACTCATTGAAAAGGGCTTTGACTGGAATGTCATATATGAAGATCAATCAGAAAGCTATGGAACTAAGGTGGATCTCAAATGAGCTAACACAAGCTCTTACATAGTCTGGTGCCATAAGTAGTTCCACCTGACAGAGAGGACTAGAGAAGCTACATAAAAGAATTTACAGCCTAAAATAACCTGGGCCTTTCCAGCCCAGCATTGTAATCAGTAGAGATTGCAAAAGAGCAACCACACAAGAGGATTATCTTGAGAGAGACTATGAAGGAAGAGAGACGGATCTTTGCTAGCAGATGGTATGTCACAGAATACTTGGTAGGCAGGGCTGAATTGAGAAGGTTTATGTGTGACTTGTGTGCTGGGCATTTGCTTTCCAACAATTTGAGTAGTTGACATGTAAATATATTTTTAAAAATATTTAAAGCCATACTGTTTGTTATAGAGTCACAAACAAAGTTATGCAAAATGATAAGAAATATATTGAACACTATCATTAAAATTCAGTATTTTTTTTTTTGGAGAGATTTTCACTGTAGGGCACGTGCACTCGCCAGACAGACAGAGAGAGACATAGAGACAGAAAGCGAGAAATCACCCCCCAGGGGGGATGGTCACGCTGCAATCCCTTCTCCTCCATTCTCCTCTCGGGATCTTGGGCACGCATGCACACGCACCCAGCGTGAGTTTTAAGCCACCAGGTCCGGGACACGAACCACAGTCGACTACGTGGGAGACCAGCGACATAGCCATTATGCTAACTGCTGGTTCCCAGTATTTTGAAATTTTGAAAGTTTATTAATTTTCAAGAGCTATGAAGTATGAGGAAAAAATTTTTGATATATAAATTAAATGTTTTTGGAAAAATGTAAAAATAAAAACAGGTGAAATTAAATAAAAAAAGAAATATGTATGTACTTAACCACAGAGCCACAAAAAAAAATAATGCAAAATTTCCAGGAACTGTGATAACAGAAATAGAGATTGCAATATTTCACTGTTTAATGAGTACAGCGTTTACTTTGAAGTAGGTGAAAATGTTTTGAAACTAGATAAAGGTGGTGATTTCATAACATTGTAATGTATCAAGAATTGCACACTTAAAAATGATTAACTCTATGATATGTGAATTTTACTTCAATAAAAAATTTTTTTAAAAAAGAAAATGCTGTTTCCTAGGTCAAAACACACAATGTAGTGAAGGTGGGTGCATCTTTAGTAGCAGGGAACACAACACAAAACAATTTTCTCTTTTGAATCTCATCATTTCTTTTTAAATTCTAAATCTAAGAAAACTTTCTTTTGTCTGAGTCTCATTTGATTCTTATTTTGGGGAGATTCATCGACATTGTTTGTTTCTTATCCCTCCATCTAGGTAAAATATTACCTGCGTTTTAGTCATGTTAAGAAGAGCCATATATTTGGACATCTTCTTGAAGAGAAAACCTGGTTTACCCATTCACTCTTCCCTTCTGTGCCTACGGTGGGACCCAGAAATCCACATGATTCAGATGGGGGGAGTCCTGGTGAGTAGCTCTTTAAGCATACTTATTTTAGTACCTCAGTTTTATAGTAAGAGCCATCACATATTTATACTCATGCAAGGGATCTTCAGAAAATACATAGAAATGCATACAGTGAAAAATATGCATGGATTTCAAGAATTTTTACACCAAAGTAAACTTTAATTACAGTTTTCCATGAAATGTGTTACATCCTCTCATATTTCTTTAACCTGTGATGAAAGCTATTCATTGATCAGTTTTTTCAAGAAAGAAAAGAGATTTGATGGGTTTTGCTTTAGATAATATTAAATACCGAGAAAGTCAAACAAGTCGACTAGGTTTTTCTTCACATTTACACAATGACTCTGATTTTACCTTTTTCAAGAGCGATTGCCCAGGAGGAAGAAAGAACCACTGTAATAGTCTCTTGGGCCTACACTGCCTTCTCAGGCCAACTGTTCCCTAACAGAACTAAGAACCAAAGAAGCTGGCATCTTCAGGAAATTTGGACAATATTGCCCAGGAGGAAGAAAGAACCACTGTAATAGTCTCTTGGGCCTACACTGCCTTCTCAGGCCAACTGTTCCCTAACAGAACTAAGAACCAAAGAAGCAGGCACCCTCTTCCCACCCTTATCCCCATTTCTCTGTTTTAACTTGAAGTGTTTCTGAATAGGAAGTATGAAATTAGTTTGGATATAAAAAACTAGATGATAACCCCAATTTAGGATTGTTTCATTCCAGGAGACCTGAAAACAGACTACATTAAGAATTAACCCTTTAGGCGCGGCGGT